CGGATAAAGGAGAGGGAAGAGAATGCTCACTTCTAAACGAATCTATATTTGCCAGATTGACCTTCAAGAATGTTAATGAGAGTCCTGAATCTGACAGAAAAATCAAAAAATCCAGGAGGAGGGAAGTGGAAGCAGACAGAGGCTGAACTCCTTGCTTTTGTGAAAAAATGCAAAAATGACACCACTTATAAATGTAAGAATGTTTAGTGGCAGGTCTCAGGGCAAGGTCCAAACTGCTCTTTACTGGTTGAGAGAGGGCTGAGGCTGGATCTGCCACGCCGTCAACCGGAACTGAGTGACCTGGGAGTACGGGACTGGGCTGTTGCCCATAGTCAGCAAGTCTGGTCTGAGTGGCAACTGAATGTAACAGCTGCCTGCAAGTTGGAGCAGAGTGACAAACCATGGCTGGCGGGGCCACCATGGTGTGATGAGAATGCAATCTACCTGCTCTGCTTGAAGACGAGAGACCACTCTGGACAGCAGTGGCAGTAGTGGAAAGATGTACAGGAGGGCGGATGTCCAATCCAGGAGGAAGGCATCTCCCAACAGCCTGTCTGGTGGAGGTAAGACGTGCTCCAAAGAACTGGCACTTCATGTTGGCGGGAGAGGCAAACAAGTCCAGAAGGGGAGTTTGCCATCTGACAAAGAGTTCCCATCCCTGGGAAGGATGAAGGGACCATTAGTGGTCATTATAAACTGTCTGACTGAGGGAGCCAGCAAGAGAGTTCTTGATGAATGGCACTGATGGTTATGGTATACCAGTCCCAGATTCTGATGAGGGCAAGCAAATCACAATTGTGGTGGTGGTGGTAAGCTGGACAATACTGTCCATGAGCAAATGACAGATAAGGTGCAGTGCCATTTCTACTGCAAGTAACTCCAAATAGTTGATGTGCTCTATGCCCTCTAGGGCCGCCCAAGGACCATGGATGGTGTGACCCTTGAGGCGAGCTCACCACTCTGAGAGGGAAGTGTCTGTTGCTAACATCGCCCACACAGAGATTGGAGCGATGAGTCCACTAGTTGATAGACCGGTGGATGGCTAAAGGGACATTGAGACATTCATTGGGCTCATCCTGCATGGGATGAAGTGCCCGAAGAAACCAATTCTGGAGAGGCCGAAGGTGCAAACAGGAGAAAGGAGTGGCAGCTGTGGTGAATGCCATGTGTCCCAAAAGGCACTGGACATCCCTGGCATGGATGTATGGCTTCTTCCAGACTCAAAGAGCTAATGAATGCAGAGTCAGAAACCTGTCTGAAGGCCCTTGCATGCCAAGAGTCCAATACAGGCCCAATGAATTGGTTGTTTGGATAGGCTGAAGAAGAGATTTTACCTTGTTGATAAAAAGACCAAGCTCCTGCTATAAAGACAGAGTAAAGTGAATGTTCCTCTGTAGATACTCACAGAACTGTGCACCAACAACCAGCCATCAATATAGGGGCAAACTACCACCCCGTGCACCCAGGGATGAGCCGGCATACAGCCATCTCCTTAGTAACACCTGTGGAGCTGTGGAGATACCATAATGAAGAACTTGAAATGAAAAGGCCTGACTGCTAGTAAAAAGTGACAAAAATCTACTGTCTTGTGGTCTAATCACCACATGAAAATAGGCATCCTTCAAATCAATGCTACTGAACCATGTCTTGCTGGATAACAGAGGGAGGATGGTTGGTAATGACAACATCTGAAATTTGCAATATGCAATATATGCATAAAGTCCTCTAAGGTCCAAAACTGGCCAAAGCCCACTGCCTTTCTTGGAAACCAAAAAGTATTTGGGGAAAAGGGAAAAGAAGGAAACATAGAAAGATGTAAAGAAGCTACTGCTCCTTTTGAAACAAAGTAATTACCTCCTACTATAACACAGGAGGAGGAGTGGCCCGTAGAGTCCCTACTGGGGACAGTTTGAGAAATTAAATTGCATAAACATGCTCTGTAATCACCAACACCCATGAGTGAGAAGTGATCTAATGCCATGCATCTAAAAATGATGAGGTGGAGCGCCAAAAACTGGAGCTGAAGGGTTGGAGGCTATTAAAGAAGAGAAAATGCATGCTAAAAACACTGTTGGCCCTGATCTTCTTCTTTCCCTTTAGTTTGTTGTCACCCCTGGTGGAAAAATTAAGTCTCCCAGCTACAGAGGCCCTAGAGTTCTGGCCCTGCTGAGGACTGAAGGAAGCAGGTCATGAAGGTTGATGATAATTAAGCTGAGGGGCTGGCCACCACAATCTAGGCTAGATTGTGGTAAAAAGCCAAACTTAGAAGCAGCCTGTCAAATCTTGTGCGTACTTTTGAAATGAGGGTCTGTATCAGGATGAAACAGACTATGTTCTGCCATGGGCAGTTATTCTGCCATTGCTCTGCCTTCTTTGGAGAGGGTAGAGGATCTCAGCCAACCATGCTGGTGGATGGCTGCTGCAACAGCAGCAAACACCTTTAGTACTGTATCGGTGCTGTGCTTAGCCATAGCTTTCTGATGAGAAGCTAAGGTGAGAGCTTACTGACAGAAAGCCCTTAGGATCTGTTGATGTTGTAGGGGAAGGAGATCCAAATAAAGTGCTGAGCTATGCCACAAGAGCACCTGATAGGCTGCCATACAAGCATGGTAATGAATCATGCAAGTGAGTAGGCTAGCAGTGGGGTGGATCTTCTTATCACAGTGGACTGACTTGAGGTGCCTTCGCTTTCTTGGATTAAACAACTTTGACCACAATAAAGTTCAGTTTAGTAGGCTTAACTAACCACTCTGTTGAAGAGGTGCCTATGCTGTAAAGTGCATTTACAAACTTAGAAATTCCAGCACAGATACAGGAGTTGCCCTTTGTTTTTCTCCAAGCTTAAGCGAGTATGGAAGTGCTGGGAGAACTGGGAGAACTGTACTTGGAGCTCGTTTCTGCTGTTGCTCAACTGAGAAAAGCAGATCCTCTAAGCAATCAAGGAGGAAAAATTAGGTAACACATCCCCTAAGGAAGCTGGGATGGAAAAGTCCTCCTCAAGAGTAGGAGAAATCTGCTACTCATAGGAGTCAGAATCTACATCAGACTCATTGACTGGTTGCAGCTGAAGGAAGCACCAGAATGAGCTTAGGAAAAAGTTTTAATAAACTCCTGAAAACCAAAAGAAGGGACTCCAAATCCTTGAAAAGGAAAGGAGGGTGCAGTTTGTGCCTATGCAAAATAGTAGCAACCTACCTGTTGAGGCATGGGCCAAGTGGAGATGGGGCCCAAAAGACACAGTACTTACATTCTGAGCCGTCACTGAAGCTCCCAGGCGGCATGATGCAGAGGGAGGATAGTAGCCCGAAGGCCCCTCCAAGGAGTTATATTCCATGGGCTTAGACCCAAAGCCTTGGCAGCCATCACTCACACAGGTGGCGTGGCTGCCTTGAGCCTCCCCTCCCCTGAGGGGGGCAAAAGCATGGCAGGAATTGTTGCAACCCGAAGGCCCCTCCAAGGCGTTATATGCCATGGGCGTGGAGGCAAGCCTTGGCTAGCCATCACTCACACAGGTGGCGTGGCTGCCTTGAGCCTCCCCTCCCCTGAGGGGGGCAAAAGCATGGCAGGGATCGTTGCAGCGTCCACTGCCTGCTGGGGTAAATGGGGCAGGGAAAGCACGGGCAGTGAGAGCAAGCTGTCCTTAAAAAACAGAGACAGCTGAGAGGCGTGGCTGCAACCCAAAACAAAGTTATTGGCACAAAGCCACAGTGGCAGTTTTGTTGCCACAAGCTCTACCAGTTCCTGGGTCTGTAAGGGGTGGTAGGCTGGTAAAAGTCTTCTTCCCTCCTGCTTTCTGAGCGAGGGGAACAGAAGAAAGAGAAGGTAAGTTACTGCCCATTGCCAAAGGCAAAAAAGCCTGCGCCTCAGAGGACACGGCATTTTTTTTATTCCTTTTTTTTTTAAAGGGAGGGAGTGGGTTTGTCCTCCCACTAGCAAGAAACACAAAGGGGGTGGGAGTTACTCTGGAGCAACTTCCCCCCATAAGCCATACATTTCAAAGAAAATGCCATGCTGGCCTGAATAGGATAAACAAAGGTCCCAGAACACAAGTTTGGAATTGCTGTCTGTTAGAGTAGTCAAACTGGAGTCCTTGAGTCAAACCAATAGTTGTTTTAGGAGAGAACACCGAGTTGTTGCTGCTTTCGCGGACAAAAGGAATTAAGGCTCCAAGCCCCGCTGCCTGGCTTTATTAGGAGTAGATGGGCGGGGCTGGAGTCCCTAATTAGGAAAAGCTTTCAAGAAAGATCCGAGTCAGCTGCGTGGACGCAGGGAAATACCACAGGTGTGGATTTCACAGTACCACGCAGAAGAAAGAATGAAAGCAGCAATACAAAAGAGAGTGAAAAGAAGCTCTGAATGTGTCAGAAAAACATGTGAACTTACTGTATCACCATCTGCTTCTGGAACATTTAAATAGGTCCACTTTCTGTCAGAACTTGGAGAATTCTTTAAGTAGGAAAAGGAGAGGAGAGGAAAGGAAAGGAGCACAGAGTATTAAGCATTGCTGTTCCTTTTCAGGATGAAAGGAAAGGAAAGGCTTTCAAAAAAGAAATCATAGCCCAAAATATCAGTAATATGAAAATCAAACACCATTACCAGCAAAATCTGCTGGTAAGTTATTTCTGAATAGTATTAAAGCATATACTCAATTTTACATTAAAATGCCTGCTTCTGTACCCTAGCCTAGCTTAGAAAAGGAGTTTTACCAGAGAATGGTATGTCCAAAGGAAAATAATTTCACTTAATGAGTTCTGCATTCTTTAATCTAAAAAGGAAAGTGTGCTGTTCATAGCCTACCCAGAATCCATCACCTAATTACTCGACTAAAATTATTACTTGACTAGGTCCATTTTGTTGTTCTGTATCACTGTATGAAAACTGTAATCTCATTAGCAGAATAGCATAATCAGACATTAAAACCATACTAAACAACAAAGAGCACAAAGCCTTAGGTCAGAAAATAGTTTATTCTTCAGACTCCTGAAATATGGAGAAACTGATGTCCTGATTATCAGTCCTGCCTCTCCCCTCCTGACAAAAGTTTTCTGCTGAGGCTGAGCTCTCTGGCATCTTCTTTATCCTCTCCTCTCTCAGGTCTACAGTGTAACATTATATATACCATTCATTCAGTAGTGTCATTCCTCTAATCCCAGATAGTCTGAACATCCCCCAATGCATATACCATACATCAGTGAGATAACATCATTCTCCCTTTCGCTCACTTTACAAGATACATAACATGGAAGTCATTTCTAAAACAGCATCCTGAACCCAGATATTATTCAAATAGAAGCTACATTCTGCAACCTATATAACTTATGTACATAAAACATTTTTTCACAATTGAATACATTCTGATATTGCTAATCACAGGAGGAGATCTGCTCCTTCAAAGAAATGGAAATCATTTTCAACAATTTGCCTGGTTTGTCACCAGGCACTGCCTACATACTTTTAAAAATCTATTTCTGGTCCTAAGAGATCATTTCAAAGAATATAAAAATAGAAATCCAGAAGGGACCGTACCTATCATAAAATAATGGAACTACCACACACACATACCTCTGGCATTACCATGCCAAATAGACACCTTTCTTTATTTGTTATAATTTATCACTAATTCTAAGCCTATAAAACATTAAACTTATTTCTTTAAAATTCTAGCATCATCACTGCTCCCCACACTAGTTTTCCTCTAACATGAATGAGTTATACACACAGTTTCATCTCAGCCTAGAATTTGTCCCCATCATAGATATATGTATGAGACAATGATAGATTCTGCCAGGGAACCTGCTATCTTTAGCAACAAGGAAAATGTATTTATTTTCATAATTCAGCTCTTCGGCAGCATCTAGTAACTCACCACACCTATGCACCCATCAATATACAATGCTACATTTTAATAGCTGCATTACATTTCTCAAACCAAGCTAGCTGCTTTTATTTTGAACACCAAGATTAATTTGCTGTTCTGGGAGCTTTAGTCATTTGCCCAGTTTAAAAACTATAGGTTACATTTCCCTCTTGCATGTGTTATGGAAGCTCTCCCCTAAAATTCTAGTCCAACCACAAATCAAGGCCACCTGAAGGAGAGCTAAGCATATTCTGAAATTAGATTGCACTGGATGGTGACAGTATTACTGGATAGAGAGGAATAGTTCCACTGCACCATAGAGAATAGATATTTATAACACATGAAAATACAAAAAATATAGATAGTGAAAAGTGACTTTTAAGAGGCAGTATAGATTGGGCTGAAAGTTAGACAAGAATCAGCATAAGATAAAAAGAAGAATATAATAAAGAAAGAAGACTGAGAGAATATATTTCAACAACTTAACAGATTTTCCACAGGAAGAAAACTATAAAGAAAAGGGGAATCTTACTGTTGATAATCCACTTGCCAAATTGGCCCTCTTCTTTGATGAGCTGGAGGCCATAATGTCATCAATATCTTCCTCTGTCTCACCTAGGTAGTCCTAATGGACAAAGGAGGGAAAAAGTCAAGTCAAGTCTTGTCCATCAAGCTCTAAACTGAGAATTCAATGAACTAGAATAGCATAAACAATTGCTGCAGCACACATATTCCTAATATGGGGTGATACAGGTTGTGGGAAATGTTCGTTTTCACAAGCTAAGAAAAAGATCATTGCAGGAGCAAGCTTTGTCTGATCTATATCGGTGGTGCAGATCTTCATGTGAAGCACACAAAAGTCTTATAAAATTTTTAGAGAAGTTTGGTGCAAGAAAAAGTAATTATTGAACACTAAAAAGCAGGATTAGCCTCTCAAGAAAATCTTGATTGGCCCAGCTCTGGAAATTTTTTTTTTTACAGAAAATGACACCCGAATCTAAAATAATCAATGGAAACTACAAACCTGAATACCCTACCCCACCCCCACCCCCCACATACACACCATATAGACACTATTTTGGGGCAAACCCCATTTTAATCCCCATCACCAGCACATACATAGACACTTGTAAAACATAGCCCTGGTCAACACTTTACCCATTTTAGTCAAAGGGCATGATCTCTAAAGACAATATTGGGGTTCTGCCTTGTAGATCATAATTGTAAACATTTACTTATTCAAATCACCTGAGTAGTCAGAAGTGGGCACAGCTTTGTCAACTGTTTTAGCTGCACCACAGCCCATTGTTGCAGATGTGATACAGCAAAAGGGTAGGTGTAGTAGATACATATGTGCAATATTATATGGGAGGCAAGTAAAGCACTCATATTGTCAATTACCCATCTATAACTCACTTGCTTACTCCTAAGAAATTTCTGTTGTTACACATATGTGTTTGCAATACAGATTATGGTGCATTGGCTTCAGTTCAAAATGAATTTGCAAGCTATCGTGTCAAGACCCACAGGTTGAGAACCACTGCTTTAGAGGCTTTCGTGTGGCTTTAACTCACCAGTTCTTGATCTAATGCTCCAGGTACAGATTTACTTCTTATACTCAAAGTATCATCATTTTCTTCAGAAAAAGACCCACTGAGATCTATCTCGGATCTACTGCGATCTGCAGAACAGAAAAGGAAAGGAAAATTCAAGTCCTTTGAAACAGACTACAAATACATTTCCAGTATCTTTGAATTGCTGTACACAAATAGTCCACTAATCTCAAGGTTCCCACAAAATCAACTATCCTCTTTTAATCCACCTTCTTACTGAAAGAGACAGAGGAGAAAAATTATGAAAACAGCAGTGGCCCAAGGGAAGAATTTCCATTTCCATTTTTTTTAAAAAAAAAAAACCTGTTTTCTTACATTTATGGGAGACATAGGAGATAAAAGCATACTTCACAGAAATGAGTCCTCAACACTAGAATGGAATGTAGCCTACTATGATTACATTTAAAAAGGAAAACATGTTTATAACCCTAATCACAACAAAGACTATGGTGCTATCTAGCTATTTCAATAGAAATAAATATATAAAACTCAAGGACAAATTGACTAAAAATTCTTCATTCCAATGCCATATTCTGAGGTTACAATTAACAGATGTTTTAAGTATAGCTTAATGTTTGTTTTTATGTGTTATCAGAAAGAGATAGAAATTTCAATTTTGGGCATGCATCACTTACAGACAATGCTTCTCTCTAATTGAAAAGAGACATGTGCATACAGAAAATCCCATAAACACTTGGATATTACTGTTAATGGCTACCAGGCTAACTTTGATTTATGGCAATACTATGAATGAGATACCTCAAAGTCACCCTTTCTTCAACATCCCAATTCAGATTCAGCACCATGACTTCTCTGATTGAGCTTGTCCATCTCTAATGAGCTTTTCCTCTTTTCCTAGTACCTTCTACCTAACTAAGCATTATTCTGTTTCCTAGTAAGTCATGTCTTCTCATGATATGTCCAAAGTATAACAGTATCAGTTGAGTTATCTTGGATTCTAGGGTGAGTTCAAATTAAAGTTGCTCTAGGACCCATTTATTTATCTTTTTAGCAGTCTAAGGTATCCACAGAATGCTTTTCTAGCACAATTCAAATGAGTTGATTTTCTTCTCATTGGCTGTTCTTACTGCCTAGTCTCCACAACCGTACATAAAAAAATTGGAAATATGATGGAATAAACAATCCTAAATTTAGTATCCAATGATAAATATTGTACACTTTTTTCTAGCTCCCAATCAATTGGGCTTAATAATGTAAATGTTTTTGACTGACATGAGAAACCTACAAGCAGCACTGCTACCATCAGAATAGCTTTCAACACACAATCCCATGAAAAGGGAGTGCCAAGAGTAGGATTCCCTTGGGTTATTTGAAGGACCATTTCTCTCTTTATGAGCCTGTGAGGACACTAAGATAATCTGGGGAGGACGTCCTCACTGTTCCACTACCCACTCAAGTGTGTTTGGTGGAAACACGGGAGAGGGCCTTTTCCGTAGGTGCTCATAGACTCTGGAACTCTGTCCCAAGAAAGACCAGAATGGCCTTATCCCTGCTTGTCTTTCTCAAGCAGGTCAAGACGTCTTATTTATTTATTTATTTACCATATTTGTACTCCATTCTCAACCCTGAGAGAGGCCCAGAACAGCCTCACATATCAGCAGCAATTCAATGCCTTAAAATAACATACAACTGGTAATTGGTAAATGACATACATCTTTCTGTCATCAGGTATTTGGGCTGGGTGTGAGTGCGTGATGAGGAGCAGGCTGCTGAGAATGTTGCGGGTGGGATTTGGAGAGGGACATTTAACTTTTAACTGTAATTAAAAACTGGTTTTTTGTATTATAACTAATTTAATTTTTGTGTCCAAGACACAAATATTTATTTTTTAATTTTTTTGTATTCATAGGTATATGTATTTTTCTTGTGGCAACATCATACTATTAACTAGTATTCTTCAAAGCATGTATTGTTCTGCCTGTGTGTCTAGCAGTTTTCCTGAAATACCCATTACCAGTCTTAAAATTTGGAAATTTAGCTAGATTTTAAAATTTTTAATAGATTTTTTTTAAAAAAAATTATTGTGTTATACCATGTTATTGTTAGATGCCTTAAATCCCTATAGGGAGAAAAGTGGAATAAAAATAAATAAATAAACTCTACCGTCTGAAGAATCAGGGAGCACTCTTTAAGCTCAGACAACACTTACCTGATGATAGAGATGTTCTTGAAATGGCTATTGAAGGTGTTCGAGATACTTTCCCCTGATTCCTTTTTGCTAATTCTGCAGGAATACTCCCACTTCCAGACAAACATGTGCCATTTTCTAAACCAGGCTCCTGCCCAAAGACAAAGAATGAATGAATATAACACGTTATTAGATGCTTATGTGCACAAACTACATTTTTAATCTACCAAAACTATCCTACAATCATTTGATTTGTTTGCAATGCCATACTCAGCACCATGCTAATAACACAACTCATCCAAGCTTCCATCTGTTTCTTTACTTCTATATCTGCATAGAACAGTAGAATGTCACTGCCTAGACATATTAATAATTTTGATAAAATAATGCGATTGATTTGTAAATGTGAGCAATTTGTTATGTCCTAGATATCCTGCAGCAATATGGCAAAGAAACAAAACATTATATATGGTAATTGCCATATTTATGAAATTTCTCCCCATAATACAAGCACAGTTAAACATGAACATCTGTGGGAAGTCTGCAGGATTTGGGAGGCCGGAGGGAAAATTCCATCTGCAATTTTTTTTGGTAAATGTGCTGTCTTTTCTAAGCTTTTATTATGACTACTAACATGGAAACTAATGTCTCCACAACAATCAGAGCTCCAATCCTTAAAACAGGAATATTAAATTTTTATATCTGACGATACTTATCTTACTGAACAAAACGTGTTACAAATGCAAATTTACTCTAAATTGATTTTTCAAAAGGTTATTGGGGCCATAGCTAGCATAGAACTGCCCAGCCATGCGGCCAATAGTGACAGATCATTAATGGTTAGAACAGGAAGAACTGGTTTCAAGGCCTTGAGAACTCATGAAGCTCACTGATAGCCTCTCATCTTAAACAATTTACCAAGATAATGTTCCCTATTGTTCTATCCTGATGAAGAAGGGGCTTCTTACATTGGTGAATTTAAGACTAAACAACCATTTTCTCTAGGAAAAACTGTAAATACCAGAGTACACCATTGTGCTAGAGTGTAGGGGCCTAATTTTGGACCCTGGCTAGACAGCTAAAAATCTAATCTACTTACCCAGAAAAAAATGAAATAGGATAAAAGGACAGAAATTGACTGTAAATACACTTCCAGTTTCAAAAAACAAGGGATTTTTATTGTAAGAATCACAAGGGAACACCTGAAAATTGCCTCTACAGAAGGAGGAATTAACCTGTTTTGGCCAGAAGAGGGACAGTCTGAAGCAATCAAGGGTTGTAAACACAACTGTTGGGGCCACATTTTGCTCATCATTGAGATATAAAAGTTTACTTGCTTTCTGTGATCAGATAAGACCAGATTTGGAGCGCCACAAAACAGAAAACGTAACCCATCTTGAAATATTTGTTGTTGATGATGTGTTGCTTCAAGTCATTTCTGATTTATGGGGGCCCTAAGACAAACCTATAATGGGATTTTCTGTGGTTGAGAATGTGTGACTTATGCAAGGTCACCCAGGGAGTTTCCATGGCTGAGCCTGGAAACCTGGTCTTCAGAATTGTAGTCCAACACTTAACATATCACACTAGTTCTCTATGACTCTTATGTGATTAATTTCTGTTTTCTGAAGGCAATAAACCCTTGAAAGAACTGTTTTGCATTATTCAACTTACCATGCTGTAGTCCACAGTCATGCTGTGTGTACTCACTGCTGGTGACCTTGGACGAACTGGAGTAGAGGCATTGCTATGGTTTCTAGAACCCACTCCCCTTTTCAGGCTACCAGATATATCCTCCAGATCATTGCCATCTAGTGAAAGGATGCTGCCCCTAAAGAAACAATATCAAAAACACATCCTCTTAGTGCCACTCAGACACTATGGGAAAAAATAGTGGTACAATACCAAGTAAGCACATTATAGAAGTTGATTTTCCATTAGTTTTGAAACATACATTATCAACCAATATATAAGTAACAACAAGAAACTATCATCACTGACTATGCCAGCTAGAGTGAATGGAGGTTGCTATACAGCAATAGCCGAAGGCCATCTTTTTAGCCTATTCAGTTAGGTATTTCTGAAGTCAAGGAGAAACTGACATTGCAGCCTGACTTATGTGTACATACACATACTAATGCACAGGCAGACATGAGTTCTTAATTCTGATGGACTCTAAGTATGATTCACAATTGATAAAGATGTATGGCATACTAGGTGATATAGGAGGTGCTGCTGTTCTGACACATGCCCCTACAAGGCGTGCCATACTTATTCTGACTGTTTTTGCAGAATTCTCTAGGAACAGATGCCATTCTGGGCCACCTGAGGATTCAAAGGGCTGTTCAGCTGCTCCAGCTACCACCATCTGCCCACCCTTTTCCAAAGAGAAAAAATGTTCCATCTGCCTAGTTTGTCTCAGGCTAAATATTCCCAACCTGAACTGTTATCCAATCTAATGCAAATCTAGTCTGGATTTATTACAAGATTTCCAACAGCTATAATTTTTGCCACTATGTTTTCATACAGTTATTAATATGTCTGTATTTATGATCTGAAAATTAAGTGTGTTCAATAATTAAATTTCTAATAATTTTCCAACTAGTATCTTCACTTGAAAACACATCACCTCAATGTCTAAGTAGTTTTCTTTGTATTCTGGTAATTATTTTCATGCTAGATATGGAAGCCGAATGACACCTTTATTTGTTTCTCCTTTCATAACATATTCTAATTAACTGCTTTGAAGAGCCTTTCTAAAATAATGAAAGCTTATTGAAGTGGACATATTGCAGACAATGCCAGCTTACATTCTTTAACAAACTAAAGGTGAGAACAGAGATTATGTGAACTGTGTTGCTTGCATTCATACCAAATATGATTAAAAAAATAATCAGGTGGATTGCTGTGAGTTTTTTGTCTGTATGGCCATGTTCCAGTAGCATTCTCTCCTGACATTTCACCTGCATCTATGGCAGACAAACTCGATGCCTGCCATAGATGCAGGCAAAATGTCAGAAGAGAAAGCTAATGGAATATGGCCATACAGCCCGAAAAAATTTACAACAACCCAGTGATTCTGGCCATGAAAGCCGTTGACAATCAGATGGATTTTGAAAAAGATCATGATGCTTAGAAAGTGATGTCATAAGCCATTCCTCTCAGCTGTAAGTCCAACAAAACTCTCTTGCACAGTCCCTATAGACTGCAGTCAGTCTTAGAAATGGGTGCAGAGACTCAATGAAGAAAATGAAGTTAAATGATTTCATTTTTCTTACCTCTCAGTACCATTCATACTTTGAGCATCAACATCTGAGCTGATGCTTCTTCCATCTTCTGCTTTCACATTTGCAACATCTCCCTTAGAAATTCCCTTGAAAACTTTTTTGCTGAACAAAGGTTGAAAGATAAACAATATGATGTAGACTCCTTAAATACAAAATTGACGAGATCCTTTTAACCTGTACTTTATTAATGGCGAGATCCACCAAGTATTCTCTAGGGCCCTGACACTGCCTGGGCCTTTTCATTTTCCTGAAGTAACATTTTTCATGGTAAAATGAGACAACGGTGCATGACTTTCAGAAACACTGTTCCATTTGTCACCCACATGACTAAGCTGTATTATGAAAGAAAATACCAGGAGACAAAGTTGGAACCCAAATGATTTAGGAATGTATGAGAACTGCTGAATCAGAGCATGGACACATCAAGGCATCAAGTTTCCAGTAGAATCAAAGAGTTGGAAGAAACCTCATGGGCCATCCAGTCCAACCCCCTACTAAGAAGCAGGAAAACTGCATTCAAAGCACCCCTGACAGATGGCCATCCAGCCTCTGCTTAAAAGCCTCCAAAGAAGGAGCCTCCACCACACTCTGGGGCAGAGAGTTCCACTGCTGAACAGCTCTCACAGTCAGGAAGTTATTCTTAATGTTCAGATAGAATCTCCTTTCTTGTAGTTTGAAGCCACTGTGCCGCGTCCTAGTCTCCAGGGCAGCAGAAAACAAGCTTGCTCCCTCCTCCCTATGACTTCCTCGCACATATTTATACATGACTATCATGTTTCCTCTCAGTAGTAGCCACCCGCCTTTTACTCATAGAAACTTAACAAAAAATTAGCTCTCTGTCTCCTGATTCCCAGCAACTAATAGTCAGAGTACTTCAGAAAAAATATAACATGCCATTCATAAACTTAATCTCCAGAAATCGGTTCAAATAATGACTGTTATAACATCTTGTGACAGCAAAGTCAACCAAATAATTATATTAATGAGCACAATGTTTTGTTCTCCTGAGTATATTGCTAATCAGTTGGACTGGACAACCCCACAAAGTTCTAATATAAAGAGAATGAGGATCCTTTTTTAAAGAGCAAACAAACAATAATGGTATGTACAGTGCATTTCTGTGGGTTTCACAGTTGTGATTTGGATTTTTGGAGAGCTTGTGCCTCCAGCCTTTACCTCCCAAAGTTGGGGCTTCCATGTGTACATTTACATGGCAGCCCTGTCCTCAGGAAGTGAGTAAAGGGGCTATTTGGGAGGTAGATGTGTCACATGTTTCTGTTCCTGCCTGATAGCTCCCTTTCTTTGCTTGGGTGAAATAGAGACTTGCCATACATAGACAAAAAAAGAAGTCAGCTCCATGTGCCACTCCACTTGCCCAGCAGATCTGATTCATCTTCTTCCTGTGAATATCTGTTTTGCCTATGCAAAAGAAGGGAGGTATTGAGGGAAAGCAGAAAGACATGGCGTACAGAAAGAGGAAGAGGAATTATATTTTCCAGGTAAGTGATGTTGCAGGCACACACAGGGCTAGTTCCTTCTATTCCATTTTGCCATGTGTTTCTGTTCCCCTCAATATCTCGCTTCTTTGGCCTGGGCGAAACAGATACTAGTGGCATATAGGAAGAGGGAGAAGATCCTGGACTCTTAGGGTAAATGAAGTGGCATGAGGAGTGGATCCTCCTCTTCTTGCCCAAGGGACTATTGTGGGTAGCCCTGCCTCCAGGGATCACAACAGTGGCATCCCATTTCCTCTCCCCAGGAGATATTCTTGGTTTTTCTACTTTCACTGGGGTAAATTGTGCCCATAACTTGTGGCAAATTGGAAGGGCAAATTGGAGGACCCAGTTTATTGTGTTGTGTTCATTAGCAAGAGCACAAAAACATTTTATTTGTAAGCTGAGCAAATTGACTAGGGAAGTAGTGAAGAATGAACAATTGTAAGCCCTAAAATGCTGTTGAGTCATTTATGAATCAGAATTTAATTCTGAATCATAATTTTAAAATCCTCAAAATATAAGTAAATTTATTTGTGACTCCTTAGGAGAATAAGAGCACAATAGTTACATTTTTTTGTACTTACACATATTACAGCTATGCTTGTAGAACACAATCTTCAGTAACAATAAAAGCATCTGGCTTCTTCAAGTGATTGACTATGTTTTAAGGTCAAGTGATTGATTATGTTTGAGTCACTAATAGATATCCATTACATATTATTAAAAAGATACCTTACCCTATTTTCCTGGGCCCACTGAGGACTACTTTTGTCCCGCTGGACAAGGAAGATAACACATCTTGCTTTGAGGTGTTTTCTGAGCTCCCTGGTAATTCATCTTTAGTTTTCCTCCCCTCTGTCTGTTCAGAGGAAGCACCTTAGAAAGAAAAGAGGCACTTTTAAAAATGAATTCGAATACATAATTATCAGATAATTCAATGTTAAGCCAACTGCCTCCATTCCATCATGAGCAGTCACTAGAGCACAACTGTTCAAGGATGCCCAACTATGTAGAAGTGAAGTGCTTTACAATTCACCAGCCACCATGACACTTCTTTGTTAAGGTATTTATATCTCACCAAGATGTATAAGCCACTGTAAACAACTTTGCAGAAGCATACAAAAAGCTTGGTCTCTCACTGAATATCAAGAAAACAAAAATACTCTTCCAGCAGGCATCAGCCAATTCCTCTGTGATGCCAGAAATACAGTTTAATGCTGTAATATTAGAAAATGTTGACTATTTCAGCCACCTCTCTGCAAAACTCAACATCGACACTGAAATACAACACCATCTGAGCTCTGCAGGTGAACTGTTTTAATGTATTTTTCCAAGTGAAGCAGAGAGTGTTTGAGGATTGGGACATTTATAGGGATACCAAGATGCTTGTTTATAAAGCTATTGTCCTCCCAACTCTGTTATATTCCTGCAAAACGTGGACCATCTACAGACATCACACTCAACTCCTGGAACGATACCATCAGTGTTGCCTCTGAAAAATCCAGTAAATCTCTTGGGAAGACAGGCCAACAAATGTCAGCATTCTAGAAGCAAAGACCACCAGCATTTAAGTGATCATCCTTTGCCATCAACTTCACAGGACTAGCCACATTGTTGGAATGCCCAATCGCCACCTCCCAAAGCAGTTACTCTATTCTCAACTCAAGAACAGAAAATGGAATGTTGGTGGACAGGAAAAAAGATTTAAAGATGGCTTAAAGCTAACCTTAAAAACTGTGCCATAGACACAGAGAATTGGGAAGCCCTGTCCCTCAAGCGTTCTAACTGAAGATCAGCTGTGACCAACAGTGCTGTGGTATTTGAAGAGGCATGAATGAAGGGAGAAAGGGAGAAACATGTCAAGAGGAAGGCATGTCAAGCCAACCCTGACCGGGACCGCCTTCTATCTGGAAACTGATGTCCTCACTGCAGAAGAACATGCGGATCAAGAATGGGTCTCCTATGGGTCTACAGCCACCTATGGACCCACCACCAAGACCCTACACTTGGAAGACAATCATACTCAAACACAAGGGATCGCCGATGATGATGATATCCCACCATTATAAGGAAAATGCCTGAAACTGCTAGCATGAGCAGCACTATAAAGGGAAGAGATAATAAAGGCAAGGATTAAAGCAAAGCTATCCTCAATAAAACTTCAAATAAGAAATACAAGCAAGAAACACAGATGCTTAAAACAAAACGAACAAACAAGGTCTGTCACAATATAATGCTGGTAACAGGATGGGGGCAGATGAACAGATTAAAGAGATGAGGAGTGTTCAGGCCATCAGATGGTTGGACTACAACACCTTTTAGCATCAGATTATAATGATGGCCAGGGGAGCTTTTGCACAATTAAAACTTGTGCGCCAGCTGTGCCCATATCTTGGGAGGTCAGACTTGGCCACGGTGGTCCACCCTCTGCTTACATCCCAAATAGATTACTGCAATGCACTCTACGTGGGGCTACCTCTGAAGACTGCTTGGAAGCTCCAGGCAGTCCAACGATCGGCAGCCGTGTTGCTTACTGGAGCAGGGCTGCAAAGGACTGTTTAGGAAGATGATTGAACTGGTGAACTGTTTTAATGTATATTTATAATTCTCTTAATTTGTGCTAATTGTATTTTATGCTGTTTTATTTTCTGTTGGCATTGAATAGTGCCTGTTGGTAGCCGTTCCGAGTCCCTCTTCAGAGTTTGAGAAGGATGGGATATAAATATTCCAAATAAATAAATAAATAAATAAATAAATATAAATAAATGATGGTGAGCAATATAATGAGTTGAAATTCAACATCATCTAGAGGGACACACTACTCTGACATCTGCAGTCATTTCATCTGCTTCCAACCTGATGAAGTAATATTCAATGCTGTAGGGCTGCTGAAGCTAATCAGGTGTTGTCCTGGCTAGTTCCATAGACAAGAGATCATTTGGTAGCCAACATAAGAGGATTTTAAAAATTCTATAATGGTTGAATATTTGTAAAATGAAAAAAATGTGAAAACAGCAAGGCTATAGACACATATAGGAAAAGCATATTCTTCTTATCCTTGTTATTTTTACCTGGGAGTTTGCGCAGGAGGGACCGTCTAACAACATCTGTTCCAAGTAGCTTGGACTGCTTGAAACGCTTTGATCTCTCTTCAAAAAACCATTCTCCTGTTACTATCCTAAGATGCCTGCATGAAAGAAATAAAGCTAAAGTGGTGCAAACTGATATAATCAACAGGAGCTAGTTACGTATTTGGTTTCCCTATCTGCTCAAGAAATCTAAATGTCTTTAGCAAAAATTAAAAGATAAGGCAAATATAAAAGCACAATTATATTTCTACATGACAATTATCTGTTTTATTAGAAATGAGGCAATCACAATTTCATTAGCATTTTGTTTGCAAATCTTAATAAAGAAAAATTTTGCAACTACATGCAACTTGGGAGCAAAATTCTGAGAAAGGATAAGTGTGCTTTGAATGCGATTTTCATGCTTCTTGGCAGAGGGTTAGACTGGACGGCCCACAAAGTCTCTTCCAACTCAATGATTCTAGGAGAAGAACCCTTTCTAATACCTGTAGTTATCTGTTTCACATTAAATCCTTCTAAGCAGTTCCACAGAGACCCAGCATGGTATCATGCTTTGACCATTAAAGTACAACTCCAGAGACTAGCATTTAAATCTCGCTCAGCCAGGGAACCCCACTGAGTGACTTTGGGTAAGCGAACCCCACTGGGTGACCTCGGGAAAAATGCTGAGAAATCCCCATGATAGGTTCACCTTAACATTGAAGTCAGCCAAAAAAGATTTGAAGGTACATAACAATTCCACAGTCTCACCCCTGCTTCTTTCACCAAAGTCAAAGAAAGAAAATGAGAAAACAAGGAGACATCCATTTTAAACTTTCCTTAATATATAGCACTTGGTATCTCAAAGTTAGCTGAATATCACGAATCATCTCATACATGCAACCATATATGAGCAGTGAAAGCTTTTCTCCATCTTGTGACCTTTACATGTGAAGTGATCTGTTCTCCATCTCCCAACCATTGGCTCGCCACCTCTTCATGACTTCTGCCTCCATTAATAGTTCCTCACCCTAAACTGAGCTCATACAATAAGTCAGAGGATAAATTCAAGGCAAACTGAAAAAAATCCTTAATTTCTAGATCACAGGTGAGTGCCCTGTGGGCTTTGTGTGATCCCCATGCCCCTTTTTACAGCCTCACATGCTCTCTACAAGTGACATGACAGTTTGATGCCAAACATTACAATCAATGAGAATCTACACTGTAGCCATTGTCAGCCAATGTCATAATCAGTTTAGTTCCTTTTATAGCAATACCAATAATCCATATCATGCTAAAGTCAATTTAAGTACATGTAAAGTTCATTTATACAGAAATATACATTTAATAACCAAATATCCATGTGGAGTTCTGTTAATAATGAGTGGGAGGATTTTTAAAGACTAAATGAGGTATTATTTTTAATTACTTTATATTACAATCTTGCATATAGTAAGCTATTGCTATGTAGTTTTAAACTGGACAGCTTTTTTTTAAGAAACAGAAAATAAGCACAGCCCTCAGTCACTTAGTCAAGCTGAAAAGATCCCCTCCCCCCCCCTGTTGGATAAGCGTTGCCTGCCCTGCTTTACTGTGTGCTTGGGGGGGGGGGGGGGGATCCAGAGCTGGGACCGCTCACATTGCCAGCCTTGCCTGAGAACATTCTTGTTCTGTCTCTGCAAGTTGGAGCCAAATAACATCAGCTCAAATCAAAGAAAAGAAAACCAGAAGTTCAGGAGGATAAAGTGTCACTACTCCTTGGAAAGAGCACAGAAACAGAATATACAAATTGGTCCTTTTGAATCCAAGTGTGCCATGGCATTCCGAATATTCTTCTTCAACTCTAAGCACTTTCTAGTCCCCTCATCTATTTATTTGTTTTTTTTTTACATTTGATAAAAAACATAGTTCATAAATGTGTGTAAATATGCATGTTTTTCAGTTTTAGCATTGGGGAATGTTCTAAAAATACCCTTTGATAGTAAAGTTAAAGGTTTCCCCTGCCATTAAGTCTAGTCTTGTTTGACTCTGGGTGGTAGTGCTCATCTCCATTTCTAAGTTGAAGAGCCAGCGTTGTCCGTAGAAACTTCCAAGGTCATGTGGCCAGCATAACTGAATGGAGCGCCCCTTCCTGCCAAGGCAGGATAACAAATGTTTATATTAGAAACCTGACAAATATTCCCAACAAGAGAATTTATTAGAACTATTAACCTCTAGGATGTTTATTTATTTGTTTGTTTGTTCTGGAAATCAACAGGATTTGTAGCCCAACTATATAACAAGCAAAGAGACTGGGGCCATGCTTCTGTTTCATTATGAGTAGGAGGTATTTTTCAAGAATTGTGTGATTGTCAGTTTTTACTAACAAGCATCACACAAACTGGAGTTGTTTGTGTTGATTCTTTCTCCTGTTTTTGAATACAATGCTAAATGGATTTTGCCTTCAAGGCAAGACACTGTATTCACCAACTTCACAACGCAAAGAAATCCAAACCTTTGACAAAAAATAGCATTTCATTTCTACACAACTTTCCCAAGGTTAATTCTCAACCACATTTCCTTTAGTAGTTCATTATCCTGAAAAACATATCAATGATACCTTTGGCCAACACTGGCTGCTTTTAGTTATTCTTTTATAAATACATTAATGGAAAGCTAGTTGTTCTACATTAATAGTATATTGGGGTGGGAAGCATTCTTACTGGTGATACTTATTCCAGAAGGGAGCATTGACACAGCACTCATCTGACCCCTTACCATTTGTGCTATATATCCTACAATGTTCCAGCCAGGTCACTGACTGAAGTGACTTAACGTACCAAAAAAGTGGTCTGGAGTAAAGTGCCAACAGTAGACTGATGACATCCAGTCCCACCTTTCTGTTTTGTAAAGCTAAGGAAGTCCCGAACCTGTGATGCATAATATATGATGTATGGTATGAATGGAATTGTTTGAAAGATTTATGGTTGGGGTCTATATAGTCTAGAGATACATTATCAGAGACAATTTATTTATTTAAAACTTTTGTATCCTGATCTTTTCTACTTCTGTAGAGTGACTACAATGGTTCTTTTAAGTTATGGAAATGTTTATAAGGATTCCTACATTAAGAAGGAAGTCAACACAAGGCTCCTTGTGTTTACCATCACCAATTAAGGAGAATCAATATCTGCCAGGAACTAAGATGTAGCCAGGATGTTTCAGGCTGGAAAAACATCTATTATTCATTTACAATTCTGGAACATCAGCAAGAATTATTGATATATGAGAGACCTTATTACAACCCAAAAATTGTAACAGACAGCTGTGCTATTCACCCACCATGCTCTATTGAAAGAGATGGTGTACCTTTGGAGAGTGTCAGATCTGCTATGGGGGAGTAGGATTCTGGACACTTGCCTCCTTTTCTCAAGGGAAGAGAAAGGAGTGCAATTTTGGAGTCTTGGGGAAAGAGGATGCATTTTGGCGTTTTAGAAGTTTTGGAAGTATTGGAAAAGCAGCAGATTTGCAGGGAAGCAATCTGGCCTAAGAGGTGTTCTTCTCCAAAGAGGGAGAAAGGATATGGTAATACTGAATGTGTTATATACTGACTGTTTTAACTGTGATAATTGTTGATTGCTGGTTTTATACGTATGTGTATTCTATGTAGGCATCGAATTGTGCCTTTTTGTAAGCCGCCCTGAGTCCCCCCTTGGGGGTTGAGATGGGCAGGGTAAAAGTACCCAAAATAAAAAAAATAAAAAATAATATTTGGATGCATGAGGATGAATGAATGTGCATATGTAATGTGAATGCTGAGTGAAAATGTTTGTTTGTCAGCCAATGTAACTGTAAGTTGTTTGTGAATTCAATGTAGTTACATAGAATCTGTATTTCTGTATGCCTAAATGTTATTCTGTAAAAGTTCTGATACCTTTTCTCTTACTAAAAAATTGCAATAAAAAGAACCTATGCTTTAAAGTTATTGAAAAGTTATTCATAACAAACCCAGTCTTTGAATTTGATAATGAGCTATACTAGAGCCAGTAAATTCAAATTCAGTTCTGAAAAGATGGAGTACATGGATGCTCGAGTTTAAGTATATGTCAGAGAAGATGATATTTGATCTGTTCTGTGAGTTTTGGGTGAAAGATAAAATGAAACATAATCTCTGTGCTCATCCCTCCCTTTGGACTTAAATTTATGGTTAAATTGTGCTCTAAATAAATCACTAGATAGAACTATATAAAATGTCTAGCCAACCCTCCTGGCTCTGCTCACCAGCACAGAAATTGCAATTTCATGCTGTGATATATTTGGCATGCCGCCAGCATCACATTTGATAAAGTCTGGAAAAACTATATAAAGAACATAACTTAAAGGACTTCCTCACCTCCCAAATATAACAGCTTAACACCACAGAGTGGTGAATTCCTTTGACTGTGACAAATTGGTTTACAGGAAGTGAATGTGATATACATTTGCCTTCTGAATCATCATTAATCCTTCTTAAGCTGCTGCCTAAACCCAAATGCACATCTTTCTTATTGAAAGTGGCAAGTGTCTGCTATAATTAGTGCAGTCTACTAAATAGAAAGACATTTCAGAAGATTAGCAGCCAAAGTTTTAATTTGTTTTCATACAAAAGAAAACTTGTTAGCTGCTTCTTTAAAATGTTGATGCTTAGACAAGAAGTCAACAAATAAACCTTATTCTGTAGTTCAGTATTTTCTGGAAATCCTGGAAATGTTTAAGTTACTATGACACAAAATTATTTCACTGCATGCATCTGATGAAACAGACTTATGGTAAGTCTACAAAAGCTTATACTACCAACTTATGCTACCAGCTTTCTCTAAATTAAGTGCTACAAGATTCATTTGCATAGTGATTTGGATTAACATGGCTGTGTCTTTGAATTCTATCCCTGTGATAATCAATTATATAAAATTCTGGAGCACATAGTTCTCTAACATTCTGTTGACTGTCTATTAAGCAGATCCTACATAGTGTTACTTAGGGCAGTAGATAGTTGCAGATATGTGCATTTAAACTTAAATCTGTTTCAAATTAGGTAGAAAACAATAGGTCATATATCAAGATCTAAGAGTGAGTGTGCAGGTTTTCCCCCTCCACCAGG